TTTCGTATCCTGAATTGGAGAACAGGTGTAGAAATTTGAGCAAAAACTAGCTTTGGCTAATTTAGCTTGGATAACTATAGGATAAAAGCCATTATTAGACTGGGTGTAGCTGAGATTCGCACAACTCAAGTGAATCATGGTAACTGCCCACTAGGATAACAGGTCACTAATGCAAGGAAACAGGTGCTTCAGGCGCATTTGCCTTAACTTCATACACCTACATGCCTGCATACAAGCATGAAGCAGATAGAATTGCAAATAGCCATAATTTGAGTAAATGCATGGTGAATTATCATAAAGTGTGATTGCTGACTCTGAAGATAATCGTCAACTGGATCAGCATTGATTTCTTTGGGTGGTAGGACGGCGCACAAAGGGCTCCTTCACACAAATAGGCAATAGCATTCGTTCGGCTTCCAAATAGACCAATCTAAAAATACCTTCCAACAAACTTTTGTTTCGAAATTAAAAGTACAATGATCTGTGAAATGAATTTAAAATGGCACATGCAATAATCACTTAAGGCAAGCATGAATATAACTAATAAGCACCTAAGGTGTCCTTTGTGGAGCAATAATAGACAAATAGTAAGGCCCCTGATCAAATTTAATAATGCAACCAGTTACTTGGTAATCACTCAGTTTGACTAGCATTCTGAATGCACAGTGATTCAACTAGGTGGTTTTGTAATGAGAAAGCGATACTCCCAACTACAAATGCATTAAGAAAGTGCGAACCGTAACCAAGTTTGGAAATTATGTTAAAGGTTCACGTAATAAAAGAAAGAAAGTATAAAAATATTCACTAGAAAACTATAGCAAATACAATTATATAAAATAGGAAAATCCAATCAATGAGAGCCGCAGACGACCGAATGAGGCACATATGAAGCAGAACAGTGTACATACGAGGTTTGCCAACTTTCCCACTTTCATTTGGCATATATCCTGCGTAAATGAATACATTTTTGCAAGCCAGATAAGAAGGGCCATGCAATATATTTATTCCAAATGAGTTTTAATTTACATAAGTTTGAATAGGAAGCGCCTTGGTGGAACTTTGTAAAGCAAAAAGTTCTTTGTGACGCAGGAATAAAGCGAGCAAATTTCGGATGAAGGAAGCACATCTGGAGAAAAAACACGATGGCGTTAATAAAAACATAAGACTATAGAAAAAATTTTTGAATGAGCACTAAGACATGCAAATAAAGAAAGGATTTTTTGAAAAGGCTTCCGAAATGGCATCCATTTAAATCATGGCGGAAGGAGTGAAATATGGGGCAAAGCCGTAGTCGGGTCATGCATAAGTTCAAGTAAATATGGCTACAGCAAAAAGAAATTAACTGAAATTCGATTCTTGGACAAAGGGCATATAAAGTTTAGAGCTAAATTCGGGTAAAAATTTCTCTGGAAGTAGTGAAGAAGAAGAAGAGAATAAATTGCAATTACCTCAGCCTTAAAGTACATCTAAGAAGCAAAGGTTTGATGCGATTAAAGATATGGACAACCAAGGCCATATGTCGTCCACATAAGAACTACAAGCCAATCATATCACAGAGAATGAGGAAACAAGATTTATGGGAGAGAAATGCTTAAAATGAATGCTATACAAGAAGCAAGTCTTGATAGGCGTATGTGCGTGCGAATTAGTTAGATTTTTGCTGATTGAAAGAAAAAACGCTTGCAGACAGCAAAGTGAATCACATTATCTATAACTCAAGGGCTTGACATGGAGCGTATTTAAAATGATACCTAGTCGTCTTTGGGAACATTCATGAAGAGATAGGACATGGACTCGTTGTTATGGATACGGCGAATTGACTCTGCTATCAGGAGGCTGATGTCAACTGTGCGAATCTTGCCGCAAGCACGCTTCTGTGCATCATGTGGCACAGTATTGGTAACAACAACCTCATCGATGACGCTACAGCAAATACGATTAGCAGCATCAGCACTCAGCAGCCCATGAGTGGCCATCACGTAGACCTATTTGTTGGGGGCATAAATACAAACAAAGATAAAAAAATCCAATGATAACAGAAAGAAAGATTTTTGTGCATTGATATCATTTTCAACTCGTGGACAATATATAGTGATAAATTGCTCCTATATAATAGGGTTGATATAATTAAAACAGTCAAATAAACACTTCGCAGGTAGTGGAAGGGAAGTGAGATGCAGTGTTGCAAGGGCAAACGAGGTCAAAGGTCCAGTCCATGCTGCACAAGAACGAGTAAAAGATTAAAAAGACAGACCAATTTAGAGTTAAAATATAGACATAATTTCTACAATTAGCGAAAAAATCTGCTTTAAATGCTCTTAATATTGTATCAATGATGCATCAACTCGAATGCCTTTAAAAAGCCTTTAGCGTTTAGCAGCATAACTCGAGGTTTATCGAAGAAAGTAAGATTGCCAAAATTAAAAAATCCAGACGTCTTCCGTGGGAAAAATAGTCAGGAAATAAAAAACATGCATGTAGAACAATTATATAGTAACTCTTATATTAGAAGTAAAGGATACACAGCGTTTAGCATCTTACATTTAAGTGGATTCAGGTTGTAGCAAAAATTAATGGAGAAAATATATTTTATCGGATTAATATGAATCAAATTATTTTTTTTGTATTAAGACTAGAAAACTGTTGAAGTTGGCATCCGATATTGAATCCTATCTAATTAAAGTCAATGTAAGATCTTTAAAAATCATGCTAAAAGTGACTTGTTGTTATTAGACGATATATTTTACTTTTTATAATAACGTTGATTTTAAGTAACTAACGAAAGATTATTATTTCGGAAATTTTTAATTAGGCTGATAAGTATATCCAGTCTTAATGTCAAGCGAGGTAGTTATTTCCACTACAGCATAAATATTCATAATATGTGAGTGATTCACTATTTATTTGCTACATTAATTACAAGTTTATATTGCACAATACAGGAACTTATCAATACCATTACTTTATTTCTATTGAGCAATAGTATCAAATTCAAGAGAGGATTAATGGAAATTCCCTTGGATCTAAAACAAAGTATACCTATTTGATTCCAATGAAAAATAAGATGGTCTCTATATTGATGAGATTCTAAGGTGTGAGATAAACATGGGGAAAATTTACCATCATATCAAATATACTAAAATACAACCAATTTAATCATAATTCTAAAGGTGCTGTAAATAGGCTTGGTAATTAAGAGTAAAATTTTCAAAATAATATGATTCGAGGTATACTCATTATAAATA